TTGGGATAAAGAGTTAAAAGGCAGACATCTACATTCAGTACAACCAATGGTAGGTAGAGGAAGGAATTCAAGAGGGAGAAGAAAGGAAGATTGTGTTCTTTCAAGACTAAGGTTGGGACATACAGGGCTGAATTCAACATTGCACATAATAGGGAAACATCCAACAGGACTGTGTGATTGGTGTGGAGTTAGAGAAACTGTAGAACATGTAATTATTCAGTGTAATGGATATACGGAGGAGAGAAGTAAGTTAATCAATGAACTTCAAAAAAACGGTGGGCAGCAAGTAACGTTAAAAGAGATTTTGAATCCAGTAGGAGGTGATAGTCTGTTAATACAATTTCTAAAAAGAACTCAGTTAATTAATAGAATATAGATTATTATTATTATTGTTATTCCTATTCATATTCTCTGGGCTGAGAGGGACTTCGGCTGTAGATGGAGGAGCTGAACACGCAGCAACATCGAAAGCTTGAGTTCTGATAGGTCTGGGAGAAGGGAATTCAAGTCTCTGATCCATTGCTTCAGTAGACGGCGGTAATGCTCAATTGGTGATTGCGAGCCGCCAATAAAAAACGAATAAGAAGACGAAGTGGACTCCGCCCTTTAATGACTGCTGCCTCGCGAAGCGACGATGCCATTTTATCCTCATGCGACGAGACAGTAAATTGGATTGCTTTTCTCTTTATAAAATTAAACGGGAAAACATTTTTTGTTGATAATTTTACTCGAAATATGATTGGTGGTGAACACATTTAGAAATTATTAACTGCGAGTGACTTTTTGTCAGGTTTAAAGAGTTGAGTTCGTGAGGTGCAGAGATGTAGCCCTACAGAAGAGTTTGAATGTTTCTCATGCCGGTTCGATTTCCTGAAAAAATGAGATTTTACGTGTAAAATAATTTTTTGGAATGTGCTTACAATTTATGTTATATATACTTTTTTAGCTACTTTCATTGTGGTTCGTTGACAGATCCTCTAGCCTCCATTCCCGCCGAGGCCTGGTTTTACTACGAGTCTGAAGCTGCCACATTTGGGCGGTTTTCTACTCGGATGAGAGAATCCATCAAATGGTAAATTTTATATTTGTTTTTGAAAGAGTGTGGCATTATGCTGTTTCCATGCTTTGAAACTGTAAAATTAGAGAGCGTTTCATTCGCTCTAGGCTTAAGTGTGAATTGCATAATCTGTACGATGCTTGTTCTCAGCGCTGAATATCATGTCTGTCGTGTCGTCATGTCTGCGTCAAGACACAAACACACTACCATCAAGTTTTTCTAATAGAGAATGAGGAGTTACCTCACGATCTTTTCACTCCACATTGCATTTCGGGAAGGCGCCGCCATATTAGCAGGATACGCTATCCGTTCCCATGGTTACTTCTCATTCTCTATAAGGATAAATGCTTCTCTTTTGTTTTGTTTTTGCCTTTAAGTTAAACAACCATTCATTCTTCATTGTATCGTTTGCAGGGAAGAGAAGCTATTTTATCGTTCTGCATGATATGCACTGCATTTCTCTCTTAGGTTTTGTAGAATTTGGTTTACAGTGTTTACCCGATTAGCGTGAAAACAGTGTCGCCCGCTGGACGCTCGCTGCTCAGTCATCATATGGTACATTATCCAAATAAAAGTGTGTGTTCAACAAGCTGACAGAAGTCGGTCCATTTCTTTGTTGGAAACTTTTTTAAATGTAAAGCGTTTTCCTCTCTTTAGAAAACTGTAATGTAGAAAGCGCTTCTGGATTAAGACAGCGATTTCTAAAGTTCATCCTTTGGGCTCATCTGTTTTTCCACACATATCAGTGTTTCCCCTGCCATTATTTTAGGGGGGCGGCCCGCCCCCCAACGGCACCCCCCCCCCCCCCTTAAGGGCAAGTTAATTTTTATTATATTT